AAGTGGATTTTAGAAATGAAGGACTACAGCCAGGCACCAGTGGCTCACACCTGGAATCCTAGCTCTTCGGGAAGCTGAGACTTGAGGTTTGTGGTTCAAAGACAGCTCAGGAAAGTCCATGAGACTCTTATCTCCAGTTAAACACCAAAGAAGCCAGAAGTAGAGCTGTGATTCAAGTGGTAGAGCTCTAGTCTTGAGCACAGAAAGCTTAAGAACAGTTCCTAGGCTCTAAGACTAAACCCCAGACCTGGCACAAAAGAAAAGAAAGTAAGGACTAGGGAACAGGGAAAATGGAGTCACTATAGCACTTAGCCTGTGTAGAATAGGCTGAAAGATGGAGAAGACCAGAAACGAGGCTGGTGGAGGAACACAAAGTAGCTCTGCATGTGGCGAAAGGTTCACAGACCTCTCCCTGTGCTGCAGGAGAATCCAACCTGTGGCCCACGTTGCTCTCCATGATTTGACCAAGAAAGATGCCACAACAGAATACCACAAACCTAGGACTAAAAGCCATGTAGATGGTAGCCCCAGAGGCTAGAAGTTCAGAGTGGCTCTCAAGAGGCTAAAACCAAGATGTTGTCCGAGCCATGTTCTTTCATATGGTCTGGGGCATTGCTTTTCTGGCCTTTTTCAGCTTCATCTTCCCTGGTCCCTCTCACCTTCTAGCCCAGCAGTGTAAGTGTTCCAGCCTGTCTCTGATGATACCTCCTTTCTTTTGCTTGTAAGGACCCCATGATTACACCAGGCCCACCAGAACTGACTACCTATTTTAGGGTTATCTGGTTAACAACCTTCATCCTACCTGCTACATTAATTCCCCCCTGTAATATGTTCACAGGGCAGGTGTTTTAGCAAAGCCACTATTTATTCTTCCAAATAGCATGTTACATGTCAGCTCTATTGCCTGGCAACCAGGCGCATGGTAAAAATGTCCCCTGATTGGTAGATTACATGTGGACGAGGAGCAGCTATGAATGAACTTGAAAGACTTGGTGTAGACACTATGGTTTAGATTATTTCCTTTTCCTGTGCTTGTTTAGCAGCTGTGTGGTTAGAGGTTATTGGATATAGCAGATTGCTATCAAGCAATCAAGATGTAAATTGAATAATTGAGACTGGAGTCATAAAACAGCACACTTGACTTGTGTCTCAGTGGTGCCCCTGTGGAGGGAGTGGGGGGAATGTGTGCCCCCCTTCAGACCCAGAGCCCTGGTCTGACTGCAGAAAGGAATGACCGTGGGGGTGGGAGGGTTGCGGGGTTCCTGGAATGGATTGTTGGTCTGTCTAAGAAGCTATGACAAATTCATAGACCAAGTGACTTACGTACATCAGAAGTGTATTTTTACCATTCTGGAGGTTGGGAGGTCCAAGTCAAGGCACCAGGACACTTGTGTGTGGAATGCTTGCTTTAGGGCTCATAGATAGAGCTTCTCTAAGTCCTTCCGTGGAGGCAGGGTGAAGGGTCTTGCTGAGACCACCCTCCCACGACCGTCTTGCATCTCCTCTTAATACCACCACCTTGCATTATGATTCCTTACGTGCATTTGGAGGTGCATGGGTGGGGGGGCCGGGGAACAAACATTCAGATATAGCACAGGCTGAGAAAAATACACAAGCACAATGCCAAAGAGTCTCAAGCTCAAGCCCAGAAGAGCGTGGCTTCCATTCTAGCCAGGGAGCAGACAGGACTGTCAGCCCGTCCCTGTGAGGCTTCTGGGTTTTGCTTTGAGTTTTTTCGGACCCCTAGAGAGAACAGCTTTGGGGACAAGCCCACCAGCTCCGAGTCAGCTATACTGGAAGGGCTGTGTCCAGGCAGGGAGTGGACAAGGCTGTTTGTTCTCTGCGGAGAATTGTTTTCAGAGAACTTTGGAACATCTGACCTAGTCTTCTGTGCTAAATGTGATATGTTACAGGTGCCAAGTTATTCTCGAAGTGTGTAATGATTACACGCTTGAACATGTGGACTCTGGAAAAGGCCTGGGGTTGGCCTTTTTTATTTGTGATTTTCTCTGTCTTCATATTTTCCCATCATGCCATACTTTCTTTTAAAAACTGGGGTTTTATTTTTGTTTGTTTTGTCTTTTCTTTTTTGGTACTGTGGATCAAACCTAGGACATCATACTCACTAGGCAAGTGCTTTGCCACTGAGCTACATCTCAGGGCTTTTGTTTTGCCATGTAGGGGGAAAATGTGATGTATGGAAATATCACCATGAGTCCTACTAGTTTGCACAACTAATATGTGAAAATAATAATAATTTTTTTGTCAGTCATGGGGTCTGATCACTCTGGGCCTGGGTGCTGCCACTCAGCTCTTCAGCTCAAGGCTAGCATCCTACCACTTGAGCCACAGCGCCACTTCCAGCCTTTTCTGCTTATGGGCCTCATGCTTGCGAGGCAAGCACTCTACCACTGAGCCACATTCCCAGCCCTAATAATTATTCTTAAAATGTGTAATTTTTTTCAGCCAAGCACCAATGGCTTGGCCTGTAACCCTAGTTCTTACTGGAGAATCCCAGTTTGAGGTCAGCTTTGGCAGCAAAGTTCACAAGAGCCCTTCTCAACTGAGAACCATACATGACGACTCACGCCAGCCACTCCACTGATGTCAGGCAGGCTGTAAAATAGGTGGATGGCAGCCTGGGCACTGGCCTCAGGAGGAGGCAAGGCCCTAACACAAAAATAACTAGCACCAAAAGGGCCAGACTCAACGGTTTAGCAGTTGAACACATGCCTAGTAAGCACATGGCCCTGGGTTCAAACCCCAGTATTGCTAAGACAGACAGATAGAAACAAATCAACCTCCGTGAAGTGTTTCTACCTGGTGGCACAGCCGGGAGCTAGGACAGCTGGCCCGAGGGGCTGCAGCTGGGTCTTTGGGTGGTGGTGTGGGGGAGGGGGGTGGATTTGTGGTGAGGCTATGGAGTGCTCTCTCAAGTTCTTGTTCTGCCTTCCCAGAGCGGCTGAGCAGGGTGGCATCGCTGGGGGAGCAACCGGGTCCCTGAAAATAGCACTCATCTCTGCTGTGCTTTCAGCCCCACAGCTGGACCTGAATCAACCTCTGGCCTGACAGTGGATTGCTGCTGCCACTGGCCCTGGTCCTGTGCCAAGGCTGCGCCCCTCTGCCCCCTCTCAGCAGGTAAGAGAGCAATTTGTCCAGCCCAGGGCCAAGTCCTCTGCAGAGCGGAGGTATGAGGGTGGGTGGGAGGCTCCTGGGAGTCCCTGCAGGGGTGCCAGCCCCTCAGACCGAGGTCTTCATCCTGTACCTCACATACAGCAGACCCAGGGTCGTTATTACACCTAAGCATAATGGGGTATCCCAGATACCCTAACACTAGCAGTGCTGGGAGGGAGCTGCCTCTCCCTGGCCCCACCCCAACCCTGCACTTAACTGAGTTCAAAGCCACAAGAGGACTGCGAGGCTATCCACAGGCCCTGAAGCCTGTCTGTGTACGTGTGTACCTGTGTGTCCCGGAAGGAAAGGCTCTCTGGCCGTGTGTCCTGCAGGCTGGCTTCTTTCTCATTTTGCCTCGTCTTCCAGAAGACCGGGCACTGGATCACTTGCACATTTAGCCTTGTCACATCCCCTGTTTCCACATTTGCTCCTCAGCATGAGGACTGAGGCAGGTGCCAGTCACATAGACAGGACACCTGGCTGGAGGGGGGGGGCGGTGTGGGGAGGTAGCTACAGGGGCACTGGAGAGGCTGGGGACTCAAAAGCTTCCCTGGGGTCTCCTCAGAAGTTCCATTGTGTGCAGCCACCGTTGGCCAGAGAGGCTCCCTCCCCCTCCCTGGCTGGGTGTCCCCAGTGCCTGGCCCACTGCACTGGGACAGCCTCCATGGCCACCCCTTCCAGTGCCTGCCCGCCCCCCGCCCCAAGGCTCCACCAGCCCTGGGGAGCAAGATGGAGCACAGGGGTCCTCAGAATTCCAGACCCCAACCACTGGAGCTCTTCTCTGTGACTGGGTAAAGCAAGGTAGCAACATTATCTTATGACAAGGGAGTTTTCTGTTTAAAACCTTGCCATGAACACATGGGATTGTTGTCATGCTTACCAGGCCCAGTGCTTGCTCAGGCATGAAAAATCCAGGGAGAGCCATGTGTGGCCCTCACGGGGCTCCTGCTGCGACCTCCGCCCCACTGCACCTCACAGCCTTGTCACCAGTGCTTCTGTTTGTGTGCTGGGTCTCACGGCACAGACTGGTCATCAGGCATCTGAGCAGCTACTTGCTGGGTGGGTGACAGCAATCAGCGTTGTCTGCTTCGTGTGGAACAAGTGGCACTGCAATGTTTTTCTTAGTCACCTGCCATTAGCATATGTTAGGTTGAGATTTCCTTTCCTGAAACTCTAGAAAACAAAAGCTATGCGTGTGTGTGTGTGTGTGTGTGTGTGTGTGTGTGTGTATGAGAGAGAGAGAGAGAGAAGAGAGGGAGCTTAAATCCAAGCTCCCAACAAAGTATGCAACTTCTGGATATGACTGTGAATACAGAGGCTGTTAGTGGTCAGGAGCGTGGTGGCCTGCGCCTCTCCAAAGTCGGTGGTGACAACACGGGTTCTGGAACCACAAATTTTGGCAATGGGACCTTTAACTATTGGGCTTCATTTCTGATTTCCGCAGTTGTTTATTTACAAGTCAGAAGTTTACACTGTCCTACCAGCTTTACAGGGTGCTGGAGGCAGGAAGGAACAGAGGTGTGGGAATGATTTCTTTCTCACAAACTTCCTGGTGTGATAACCAGTGCTCATGGTAGCGATCACAGTGGCGGTGTAGTCACGGTGTGCTCATCTGTTAGCGCCTCGCTCTCTCCAGGGTGGAGGAAGGCCTCAGCAGAAGCGCCATGACTCCCTGCCCTCCCCTTCTCTCTAGCTCCAGGGGGTCCTGGCTGGGGCAGAGGCCAGGGTGTGAGGCTGGGCAGTTGGAGGTTAGGGAGGGGTTCACCTCCCCCACCCCAGGCATTGGCACTCACAGCCTGTTCTGTGGTTCTTCCAGGGGCCCCAGGATGAAGGAAAGCATGTCCAACAACACCACCAGCATCTCACAGGCCAGGAAGGCCGTGGAACAGCTCAAGATGGAAGCTTGCATGGACAGGGTCAAGGTGAGCATGTGCTAAACGCCATTCTACCCCCAGGCTAGAGTGGCCTGGCGAGGCTCCATTGCCCCCAATGTAGTGCCCAGTCACTGTGTCAGGAAAAACTGTTTGCACACGTGTGTACAGCACCAAGGATTAAACGGTGCGGTATCCACAGTGCGTATGAATTCCATAGACACCAAAATAGACTCATGAGGGCCTCAGCTTTGTTGTCCTGCATGGGATGAGTCAGTGTGGGTGCCAGGTTAGGCAACACTGCCTATTTCAACAGGGTGTTGCAGGGGCTGGTGCAGAGCCCAGCCTGAGTGTCAGCCACTCCTAGGGCTCACCCCCTACCCTGTGCATACTATGCAAAGGCAGGCCTCTGCTTGCTCTGCAATGACCTAGCAAGAGGGTATCCCTGGTCTCCACATGCCACATAGAGGAGAGCAGGAGGCTAGGCAGGTGCGGCTGTGAGATGCAGCAAGCCTCAAGGAACAGTGGGGTTAAAAGGAGAATGGGGGGGTGGAGTCAAGTTCAAGGTGTCTTTGGCCTTTGGAGACCAACCCAAGGAATTGATCAGGTATTCCAGATTCTCAGGAACATCTACGAAAGCAGGCTGCTCCTAAAACCTTCTGTTGGCAGAACCCACAGCCCCTCCAAAAGCTTCCCTCCCACTTCCCCCTTCTCCTTTCTCTCCCCTCCCAGAGGCTCTGCCATCCACCCCCACCCTACCACCATCCCATGGTAGATAAAAGGCTGCAAAGCTCCAGCTGTCACCTTGTAGGCTGTTGTTCTTGTCCTCTGGGCTTGATGGTGCAAGGCATCCAAGAGGGCAGAAAATCTGCCCAGAGGAAGACAGGAGGGTATGTGAGAGGAGAGTAGACAGTCGGATGCATTGCTCTATTGTTTTACTGCATTGCTCTATTGTCTGCGTTTGTGCAAACCAATAGTCACCATACTAGCCTGGAATGTTCCCAGGCACCTTCATGTTAAAGGCCTTCCATAGCTCCATGCTGTTGGCATTTGGAAGATGGGGCGGGGCCTGTGGGGGTGGGCCACACACTCCCATGCTGTCTTCCTGTGTGGCTTGGGTCAGTACTTCAGTGCTGCCCACGGGCTTCTGGCTGGCTGGACTGAGGCAACACCACTGGCTGCTCACTGGTTTTTCACTCATTACTTTTAGGGTAGGGTCTCACACCCCTCTCAGGCCAGCACCAGTGAGTTCCACCTCTTTTGGGTTTTCTGTTGTAGGTAGGATGTCAGTGTCTGACTTCCCTTCCACAGAAAGGGAGTCTTGTGGGCTGTTCTGACTGGCTGGCCAGGTGTCGTGATATTCTCCAGGTCTCGGTAGACAGCAAGTACTCACCACCACACCCTGCGACAGGGCTCATGAACCTGAATGTCCAGGCTGGTCTCAAACTATCATCCTCCTGATCTAGACTCTCAAGTGGTTAGGATTACTTACAGCCATGAGACACTAGTACCTACTTTAATTCCTTTTCATGGTTGAATCACATTTGTATGTATGTGTGCACTTTTTCCATCTATTTATCTGTCGGTCTTCCCCTAGGTAGAGGCTGTATCTTTGTATTATGAATAATGCTCCATTGTAGCTGAGGTGACAGGCATGTGCCATTGTGTCTCTCAAATTTATTTGTCTAAGCTGACTTGGAGCCATGACCCTGCCATCTCAGCCCTCCTACCCACTGCACTCCAGTATTCTTTGAGAAGAGGTCTTGAGAATATGTCTGAGCTGGTCTTAAACTACAGTCCTCCTGATGTCAATTTCCAAGTAGCTAAGATTCGCTACTTGGCACAGCCACTAGCCCATGTAATAGCTTTATGCTCTCAAAAATGTAAAGCAAACAAAATCTAGGAAATGAGAGCTAAAGGAGAGATGAAATACGTGAGTTACAGACAAGTAAAAAGCAAAAAGAGGCATCTGAGGGGTGGGGAGCACTATCAGGAGCATTGTGTATAACACATGCTGCAGAAGACAAAATGCAGGACATGTAGGACAGGGCAGGGTGGGGAGGGCAGGCTGGAAGCACACAGTGAGCAGAAGGAAAAGGGGTACAGTCAGATCAAGGCAGTTGGAAGATGATAGCGCTCAAGACAGCATCCCACCTGAGCAAGGACCAGTAGAACAGGAAAGAAGCTCACAGGAGACACAGCAAGGTTTTCTTAAACAAGAAGACCTGAATCTGATTCGGGGAAGTGCCAGACAGAGGCCCTGCTGGAAGCTGGAAGCCTGCTTGCCCTTGGGTGGGAAGGGCAGCCCCAGCTTGCACAGTGAAGCCGTTGGGCAACGAGCTTCCGCAATTCTCCATTTGTCCTAGGAATTCCTCTCATTGTGTCTCACGCCTGGGATTTTCCCACAGCTCCACAGGCTGCTCATTTCTTTGAAATAGAAAAACATGTCTTCTATGGGTTTGTTTCCCACCCCCAAAGAAAAAACACACATGGTTATGAAGCCAGACTAGAAGTTTCTAAAATGGAAGCTATTCGTGGTGACCTGGGCATCACTGCAGCCGCAGCCACTCAGAGCCATGCTGAGCCACGGGACTGCTGAGCTCAGGAGCAGAGCGTCCCTCCTGTCCCCCAGAAAGCAGGCAGGTGAATCGAGGTCCCCACCCGCTGCCCTGTGCATGTGTGGCGATGCCTGTGCCTCCCTGGCTGCAAACTGCAGGTGTGGCTGCTGCCATTTGCTGACTTGCAAGCTTGTGCAGCCAGGCAGGGCTAGGCGTGCTTCGGCTTCACTCCCTACCCTCAGCTTCTCCCCAAGAAAACAGAGCTCACGCCTTTCTAGAACCCCTCTGGACCCAACAAAAGGTGGTGTCCTCACCATTTTCCTTCACCATGTAAAATACTCTTGATAAACTTACTGCGTGCCTGCCTTTTTTCTCTTAGCTTTGTGGACTTTGTTTTGTGTTGGTGAGATCATGTCTCACTGTGTTGCCTAGACTGGCTTCAAACTCATCATCCTCCTGCCTCAGCCTCCCAAGAGCTGGAGCTACAGGCATGCACTATCACTCCTGGCTCTGAGATACATGACTTTCTTTGTAAAGCAAGCAAACTAGGAAATAGGAAAACTGAGGGATGCCAGTCTGATGGCATTCGGGGTTGCAAAGGCTTGGTCAAGATCCACCATGGATGTGAATCTTATCAGAGGCTAAAGGGAGGACCGTGGTGGTCATTTAAAAAGGAGGGCCCCACTATGGTAATGAAAAGTACCACAGGCTAAGGATGCATGGGGTCTTCAGTTGGAGGTGCACCAGGCAGGACTTGTGGAGGACTGGGGTGCCCTGCTGGCTGCAGCTCCGTGAGCTCCCTCTCATCCTGCTTTGTGTGTGTGTGTGTGTGTGTGTGTGTGTGTGTGTGTGTGTGTGTGTGTGTGTGTGTGTGTGTGTTGTGGGAGGAGGGGAGGAACAGGCAATGCCAGGGAGAAGCTTCTGCTTAATACTGTTTTATAGAGCAGGACTGTGGAGAAGGAGGTGCGCTTCCTGCTTCAGCTGCCGGAGATAAATGCGGTGGTATCAGGGGAGGAGCAGTAATCATGCGTCTGTCTTGTCACAGAATTTGACTATAGTAATTGCCTCGCTCTCCCCATCACTGAAGCTCGTAATTACTGCCCTGCTAACAGATTACGTGCTAACTTGGGCTGCTTTAATGACCTCTTTTAGCCTGAGATGAGTTGGTAAAATTCCACCGTTGTTCCCAGGCTTCTGATTCTTCACATCTGCCGTCTGTTACCCCCACAGCTGGATTCTGAAGCGGGAGGGAGGGAGGGCCACTCCCAGGTCCCACATGGCCAGCTCAAGGCCTGGCAGGAAGGCCGTAGGAAAAACCTGTCTTTAAGACGATCTGTTGCATGTTTCAGAGACGGCAGGTATAGTGTGGACTCTGGTAGTGTTGGCAGCCATACATGTGTATACACACACACTACACACTACACACTACACATCTACAGGCAGCTCAGGATTTTAACTCAGAACCCTGTGTTCGCTAGGCAGGTGCTCTCCCACCTGAGCCACCCCCACCCTAACCCAATATATACACGCTAGTCCTTTACTTTGGGTATTTATTGAGGTAGGGTTTTTGTTGTTGTTTTGGTTTGGTTTGGTTCTTTTTCTGGTCCTGGGGCTTCAACTCTGGGCCTGGGAGCTGTCAGTCAGGGACAGCGCTCAAGGCTAGCACTATACCACTTGAGCCACAGTGCTACTTCTAGCTTTTTTAAGTAGTCTGTTGTAGATAAGAGTCTCACAGACTTTCCTGCCGGGCTGCCTTCAAACTGTGATTCGCAGATCTCAGCCTCCTGAGTAGCTAGGAAGACAGGTGTGAGCCACCAGAGCCCAGCTTGAGGTAGGTTTTTAGGCCTATGTATGAACAGCTGGACCATGATCCTATCTACACTGTTTACCTAGGTGGGTTAGCAGGTTCACACCACCATGCCAAGCTACTGGTTGAGGTGGGGTCAAACTCCAGTCCCGAAGTAGCTAAGATTGCAGGCATGAGCCACTGCACTCGGCAACACTTGGGTAAGCAATTTATTTATTCCTCTCAGTTCTGGAAGTTGGAAAGTCTGAGAGCACATAGCCAGCACCTAGTAGGACTGAGGGGCAGTCATGGGGAAATCAGGGAAATTAGGCCACGTTGGTCCTTTTGCTGACCCCATCCTGTAAGCAAGGCCTGCTTGAGACCTGCTCAAGAGGGCGGCCGGGGGGACGGCCTCTGGTGATGATACCATTAAACATCATTGGGAATTCTGGCAGGATATTCAAACCACAGCCCTTCTTGTCTCCCAAGTCCCAGCATCCCATGGAAACAAATGCAGCTGATGCAGCACCTGCCGTGCAGCCCATCATGTGAACTGGGCTCAGAGATGGGCTTCTTTGCAGATCACAACAGAACTCAGCAGACAACACTGCTTCCTCAAAAAGAAGAGTAGTGTCGAGGACACTCACCTTTGTCAGGTGGCAGGAAAATTCCTGGATGGGACCTGCCTTGAACTGGCAGGGCCAGATGTTCCCAGCGTCTGTCACCCATGGCTGCAGGAGGGGATGCAGGCCTGCCAGTTCTGCCTTGGGGCTGCCCCCTAAGTCCCAGTATCTTGTGCTCCCCTCCTCCAGTGCCTTGGTGTGCATACAAGTAGGGGGACGCTCCAACATGGCAGTCTGCCCTTGCTTGTGCTGGCCTGAACCAGGTCCACTGGATGGATTCAGTGGCTGCCCCCTGCTGGTGGCCTTAGGGAGACCGAGGCAGCTTCTGCAGGTCTGAGCAAGGTGAGAAGTCTGGCATGTGGCTGGGCAGTGAGGGAGAGCTGCGCTTCTGCCCAGCAGGTGTCATGGGTTTGCCATGTGCAGAGCTCAGCCTCCCACGGAGCCCACCTCTGTGCCCATAGCACCAGATGCAAAAGCCCTGGTCTCACCTGGGTCCACCATGGCTTTGTGGCCTCCAGATCTTTTCTCTGGGATTGCCTCACAGGTCCTGGCAGGCTGGCTTCTCCTTTGGATCCTTGCTGGTGTGGGAAATTCCTACTTGGTAAATATAGGCTTATCTGTGTAAATCATTGTGCCCGTCATGTGCTCCAGATCTGAATCCCCTCCAATGATGCCACGAAAAATGTAGAACCATAAGATAGCCGGGAAAATGCCAGCGTGGAAGAAGCTATGTCTTGAATTTATTCATGAGAAGGCTGAAGTTGAGTTCTTTGCCCCAGCCACAGGGTGGAGGGGGGAATGAGAGGCTGGTGTCCAAGGATGGCCCTTTCTCCCCTCCACGCGCCCAGCAAGTGTGAGTGTTGTTGTTGGGCTTTAGGTGGACACAACTGCTTAATTTCTAGTTGGTTTGTTGAGGAAAAGCTTCGCGATCTGTCTCTGCTGGCCTTGGCCAAAGGCTTGCAGTCACTGTGGCTGTGTGGGTCTGGGCTGGGGCTCAGGAGAAGCTCTGTGGAGTGTTGGCAACCTGAGTGGAGGAAGGTGGCTTTGGGGCATCGCCGTGGGGGGCAGGGAGAGAATGCATGCCTGTGCATGTGACCATTCATCTCAAGTGAGTGACACAAGCAGCCAGCGGGGCAATGTCATCCCCTCCTGGCCTGTGCCCGGCGGCAGAATGCCCTCCCACCGCCTCTCCCCCTGACTGCTCACAAGGGCCTTGTGTCAGGCAGGAAAAGTCCAAAGGAAAATGGAGGGCTTTCTGATCAGGGACAATTTGCTCTGCAGGGAATGGCGGCCCTGTGGTTATAAACCAGGTCTAAAGGCAGGACCTACTGAAGGTGACCCAGTGTCATGCGATGACTGCAGTGATGGATAAATGTCACCCTGACCTTGGCCAGGGCTGGCATTCCATTCCTCATCTTTCATACCAGGGAGGCAACCCAGACATCCAGGCCCTCCTCAAGGCTGCCTGAGGGTCCAAACCCCGTCTTCTGGCCTGGTACCAAGCCGCTGCAGTCCCAGGCCTGGCTGGGGGCCACGCCTCCCCAGGGACTTACTCCATGAGCTGCCTGTGTAACACAGCCTCCTGTGTGTCCCCGCAGGTCTCCCAGGCAGCCGCTGACCTCCTGGCCTATTGTGAATCCCACCTGCGGGAGGACCCGCTCATCACTCCCGTGCCTGCCTCTGAAAACCCTTTCCGGGAGAAGAAGTTCTTTTGTACCATTCTCTAACCCCAGTGATGACATGCCTACGATCACCATGCACGCCCTTTCCCTAGCAAGCGAGCTCCACTGGCCACCCCTGCCTGACCCTCCGTGACCATGGCTTGTCTTAGTTCTCTGTGTTTTCTTTGTGCTATTCAGTGTCTTATTGTTTTCTTTCCTCTTTTAGATTCATTAGTAACAAAGGAAATAGTGCACTTTACAGCCAAACAACAAATGTACTATGTAAAAATCAGTGTGGATTGAAGGGTTCACACCTTCCAAATATCTGTCCCCAAGCTTAAATACATCAAGTTAACACAGCTCAGTGGATAAGTCATTGAAATGAAGGTGTCCAAGGGTCCTCCATGTGTCACAGGGAGTGGGGAAGCCCAGAAAGTCACATCCTATCTTTCCAGCAGCCTGTTAGGAAAGAAGCAGGGTGCAGGATTGGAGCCACTGCTTTGCTGGTCCCCAGGTCCCCTGGTCCCCAGGGCTTCTCCCTGGCCGTTCTGTGGTGGCTCCACTGGGTCAGGGTGTGGACTGGAGCCTGTGAGTGCTAACCACGGCACTGTGGACCATGGAGCCTGTGCATGCTCATCACAGCACCATGGCATGTTGTGGACACACTGGCAGGGCCATCTCATCCCTGCTCCTCAAATGCCACCTCCTCTGTCTCCCCTCCTCCCTGGCTCTACTTGGTATTTTTCTGTGGGCTCCCTCCACAAAGGTACATTCGGGCACACTGCTGAGCCCCTGGGCCACCGCCACAGGGGTCACCGGATGCCTGGCTGTGCCCCCTCGGGTCTGAGCACAGGCTGCTCCACAGGCTGCTCCCACCTGCACCAAAAGGAAACTGCCTCTCCCTGGCTCTGGCGGAGGCTGTGAGCCTCTGTGTGGCCTGTGCTGTTTGGACGAAAGATGGGGGCAGAGGTATTTAACCCTCCTGCCTTAGTGTCTGCGAGGACATCGAGGAGCACTCAGATTATCATCTAAAACAAATGCATGCTAAATGATAAGCTGTGACCTCAAGATGGTGCATAGCTTCAAAGACTACAAAGAGGCCCCTGGAGTTTTCAGACTACTTCATGACTTGGTACCCCTGTGAATGGCTTTAGTGTGTTGCTACTCCTTGCTTCTCCTGCCAAACCCATGCTTGGTATTATTATGTTGTTGTTGTTGCCAGTCCTGGGGCTTGACCTCAGGGCCTGGGCTCTGTCCCCAAGCCTCTTTGTACCACTTGAGCCATAGTACCACTTCTGGCTTTTTCTAAATAGTTTATTGGAGATAAGTCTCACAGACTTTCCTTCCCGAGCTGGCTTTGAACTGTGACTCCTGAGTAGCTAGGATTACAGTTGTGAGCCACCAGCACCAGGCTCCATTCTTGGTTTAATTAAAGATCATGGGTAATAGTGTGGTTGGGAGCTGTGCACTGACTGCTGCAGAGCTGTCCTCAGGGTGTGGAGATAAGCCTGCACAGCCTTCTATTGTCTGGGTGGGACCAGAATCTCAGCATCAGTAACTTGGTGAAGCCTGGTCTACAGAAGGGTAAAGAGGGGCCGAGTCAGGTCAAGAGGAAAAAGTGCTTTTGGTTTGCTTCCCTTCATTTGAATATTACAGTCCCTCTATTCTGCCTCAGTTTCTCTCTCAGTCCTGTCCTGGCTCCCTTCCTCACTTCTCCTGGGAGGTGTTTTTTGGACCTCTTCCTTACAAGCCTGAGCATTTTGTTTGTGGGTCTTCCCTTCTGTCTTTGAACTCAGTTTCTGCAGCTTGAAGACAAGGGCTTAGTGGCATCATATCCGCTACCACTCCCACTGGAGCTTCTCTGGGCTGTGATTGTGGTGTGGCGTGGGCTTGGAGTTCAGCACCCCTTCCCTTTCCAGGGGTGTCACCCCTTTTACAGGAGTTCAGCAGAAGGCAGAGGGGGGTGAAGAAGGGAGAGGCTCTCTGTCTCTCAGACACCCCCTTTCCAGCTCCAGACCAGGCATGGGAGTGGTCTGGACTCCAGGGCCTCCTTCCTGCTGTGACACAGACAAAGGGATGCTGAGTGGTCCAGGGGTGATGGTGATGCAGCAGGGGACATGTGGGGCTGGCATGCTGCTGAGATGGAGTGTGCACTGTAGCCATGATGGGGGACCACAGGGATTGGGGAAGGACACGCCTGCTCTGCTCCTAGGCCCCACCCATCCTCCTGCATCTCATTCTAGCTTCCTAAGACTTCTCTGAACCTCATGCTCATTTAGTAAAGCCTATTCCTCCATGAAATCGCCTGGTGTAAATAGCTGGATGTAAATGTGGTGTGAACTAACAATTCTGCTGTGTGGTGTGGCACCCACGGTAATGCGTGCTTATGTTCAGCTGAAGAAAGGCCCAGGGTTGTTGGTGGAAACACTGTCCTGGCAGCCCCCAGGCCAAGCCAGGTGGAGCAGGTATACATGTGAGGTTCTCCCCCTGCTGGAAGACCAGGCTGCCATGGGAACAGGCGGTCTGCGACTCCACCCACTCTCACATAGTCATTGGGTAGGCAGAAGAGGCAAATGCAAGTATGTGATTCCATTTGTATGCAGCACAAAGCTGTTATATGTGGGGATACTGGCTGTTCCTAGAGGGGGGAAACAGAGGGAGTTTGGGGGAGCTTCTGGAATGCTTTGTCTCTGTATCTGGTTGCCCATCGCCTAGGTTTTTTCGTTTTGTGAGCATTCTCCCAGCTGTCCACCTTTGATTCGGGTGCTTTTCTGTATGTGTTTTACTTCAATAAAAAGTCAGGTTTGTGGCTAGCAACTGTGAGTCCCACTGTCACTTGTTTTGTCCTTTCTGAGCACTTTGCCCAATTTTCAATGTCATGTTTGACATGACATTAATGATGGCTTCTGTCATACGAGGGCATTTCACAGGTGTGCCTAGCATGTTAAGTTACCAAGTGCTCAAAAACCCCATCTGACTGGCTGGGCACGGGCTGGCTGTCGGCTGTGATCACTGCATGGGTGATCCTGTGAGGAGGACTTGCAGATGTCATGCCCTGGGATTTGTGGGTAACAGAGAGGAATCCCACTGAGACTTCCTAATGGACAGCCAAGAGAGAGCCTTACCCTGTCCTGCCTTCCTGCCATCGAAAGGACAGGATGGCCCACCAGGAGACTCTACCATTAGAGCCTCTGTGACAGGGGCCCAGGCCCCATGGGGACCTGCAGTGACCCAGGGGAGCAGGAGCAGCAGATGTGACACCACACTGTGCCTCCATGCAGCCCCCACCCAGGACTCAGCCTGCTTCCAAACCTGAGTTGTTTGTCCAAGGCTGACTGCTTACTCTGGGTCCCATGGGGCCTTAGTAACTCCTTTTCCAAGGTTTGCTTGCTGGATCCTGCAGTGATCCCAGAGCAGCATGATAATCTCGCCTTTAATGCTCAGCTGGGTCTCCACAGAGAAGCTGAATTGTCAGCTACCCCTTCCCAGCATACTGTGGGGGTGGGGAGAGTGGGCAACCCAAAAGACAGGGGAGTTTTGTTCCGATAGTGTCATGTGACATCAGATAACTGTGACAATTGATATGACCTGAAGATGTGGATGATAGCTGATCTTGGACAGATTTACAATCCTGCATCCTCAGCCTTTCAGAGGCGACATAACCCTACCCAGCCCTCCCAGGCCCAGTACAGTGAGGGAAGACACTGTTGCCTGTCCTGGGCAGGCCCTGGGGGTATCAGGCTGGGTGCACCATCACCATGCCCACCGGCACAGTATGACTTTCCACTCTGTTGCCAATAAAGCCTGCATGTCATATTCCAATACTTATATTCACATTTATGTGAATATTAAAATGTACATGATTAGTTCATGATCATGCTGAGTCAGACATTTAGAACATATTTTTAGCATCCAGATAGCAGCAATCTGTTACCAAGAGTTTATTGGTTCACGAGTCTTTAATAACTTGTATATAATTAATGTGAATTTTTGGCACATTTTACTTCAGCATAACTATTTACATTTTTCCAAGCATATTTGTTTACTGAAACACCAAATGCTGTTAAAAATTATCTTAGCCTTGGCTGGAAAAAGAAGAAATTTCAATGACTAAATTCTGTCTAACCACTCAGGCAAACGAAACATGAACTAAACTTAGAATTCTACTTGTATAACACATGTGTTGTTTTGGTGGTTTATAGCTGGCATGGGGGCCTGGCCCCAGAGCATGAGTGTTCAGAGTTGGGGAGTGGTGGCATCCTGAGAGCATTGACTCTTGTGGGTTCAGTATGGATGGGCTCATAAGCCAGCCCAGGGAGGAGGTGGCAGCTAGGAAGGGAGTCCTTGGGATTCTGTCTTCTTTTTGTCTCTCTCTTCCTCCCATTCTCCCAGCTGTACTCCACACACATAACCTGCCATGTTCTGCCTTGGCAAAGTCCAAGTTTTAGCCCACTGAAGACTCTGAAGCCAGCAGCCCAAGCCAGCCTTTCTTCCTGTCAGCCGATTCAAGTATTCCATCACAGCAATGGGATGGGCTAGCCCTACCCCACCCCCATTTCCTATTCCTTATAATCAAGCTAAGTTGATTTTCTAAAATGTTATTTCCAATGTGCTCTAGATCAGGCTGGCCCAGTCCTGTGTTAGAAGTTATGGCACAGAGGACATGTGAAGCAAAGGGACTGGGCTAGGTGAATCAAGGGGAAGGCCACAAGAGCTTGCAGTACTAAGTAATCACCAGGTAGCAAAACACTCATAAGGAAATTTGTCCATAATTCTCCCTGAGGTGGTGGCTGCTACTGTGCAGCTGAGAAGACTGGCAAAGGCTGCCACTAAGAGGCAGCCATGGGGTGGGGAAGGGGCAGACACCAACTTGTAGCATGGGCTACAAGGGTAATCTTCCCACCAAGGCTGGTCTCAGGCTCCCAGTGAAACACAGATGGGCTTGCAAGCTTCCAGAACATGTTAGCATCTACTCTGGCTAGCTCTCAAGTCTTTTGTATCCCAGCCACACAACCAGGAAAGGGAGAAGCTGGGATTTGAACCTAGAAAGCCTGGCTTCAGAATCC